ATTGGGAGCATGAGACTGTCCCGACAGACTGGAACCGCTCCGTCATTGTCCCAATTTTCCAAGGGAGGCTCCCGTTCGGAGTGCGGTAATCACAGAGGGATCAGTCTGATTTCAATTGCCTCTAAATTGCTTGTGTCTGTCGTTTTCCACAGACTGACCGGCACTCGTGAAAGCCAGATTCGTGCAGAGCAAAGCCGAGCTTCGTTGAGGTCGGGGCTGCATCGACCACATCTTTTCTTTGCGTCAATTATCAGTGCACTGCCATGTTTATTGGCGACCCACCGTTGTCGTGTTTCTTGACATAAAAGGTGCCTTCGACTCAGTCGATCGATGTGCTCTTTGGAACTGTCTGCTGAGGAAAGGTGTGCCTGATAAATACGTAAATATTATCAAAGCGTTGTACGCGCATTGTTCGGGCAAAGTGAGAGTTTATGGCAAACTGTCGCCACCCTTCAGTATCACCAGCGGTGGGAGACAAGGATGCCCGCTGTCACCTTTCCTATTTAACTTCACAGTTGACGAAGTCATGGAAACAGCATTCGCTGGACACGACCTAGAAGGTGTGGAGCTACTTCCTGGTGAGCGACTTCTTGACTTGGAGTATGCGGACAATATTGCCCTCATATGTGACAGCTCTCAAACATGCCAAGCAGCACTGGACCGATTAGCACTGGCTGTCAATCGTTTTGGGCTATGCTTTGCTTCATCGAAATGCAAAGTACTTCTCCAAGATTGGCAGGGACCTACCCCTGCGCTAACGCTTTGTGGTGATGAGCTAGAAGTCGTTCAGGAATTCAAGTACCTGGACAGCTATATTAGCGCCCGTGGGATCCAAGATGAGGTTACGAACCGTATAGCAAAAGCTCGAGGTGCTTTTGCCAATCGCCGCCACCTGTAGTGCCGACGCGACATTACTCTCGCCCTGAAGGGCAGAGTTTACAACGCAGCCGTCCGTTTAACTCTTCTATATGGTTGTGAAACTTGGCCCCTTAGGTCGACAGACATAATAGGGCTGGTTACATTCGACCACCGCTGCCTTCGCAGCTTAGCTCATGTCTGGTGGAAGCACCGCGTGAGCAATGAGCGTGTTCGGTACCGCGTATTTGGTGCATAAAGGGCGAGTGAACCGCTCAGCACCATTATATCACGCACCAGGCTCCGATGGCTGGGCCAAGTGTTGCGCATGCCAGCACACCGACTCCCGCGATGTGCATTGTTTGCGCGCCGGGGGTGCGATTGGAAGAGGAGGAGGGGAGGCCAAGTGATGACTTGGTCGAGAGAAATGAATTCTCTCACTTCGAAACTGGCGTCGGTTGGTGCATCCCGACTGCCTGGCTGGGGTCCTAAGGACGATGAACACGTCTGGTTGGATGCACTTGCTGATATGGAGAAGAGCCGGCCCCAATGGCGTTTGTGTTGTGAGTTTCTTTGTCCATCCCTTTTTTAGGTTCTCTTTCCAATCCCTATCTCATGCAAAACGCATAGTATAATGTTTAACGTCAGATTTTCTGTAGTGCAATTCGTGTAATTTTTAGTCTTATCTTTTTGTATTGCGGCACATTAGCTGAGGTGTGTTTCTCACCCTCAGCTAACGTGTATCAAACCAGTCAGATGTGGCATCGATGGGTGTAGGTCCAAGGCACCTGAAAGTTAGCAAATGTTTGTTTTACGCATACAAAGCAGGTCTAATCGAGCTCATCGCAACGGCCTCGGTGGATTGGGATGGCGTAATACAATCCGATACGCGGAGCCGGGATCAGTCAGATGACGAGTTACCAAAACATACCTGTCTATTGAGGACGCTGGAGGCTTACATGCGCTCGGGATGTTGGGCGAGGGTTGATTGATCTCATGCTGAATCCAGCTGGGCAGATGCTACTTCACTCTGAAATTCAGAACTGTCAGTTCTGTCTATGTAACTGACTCCGCAGTTACACTCGATTTTGTAAACACAGTGTAATTTGGCTCCGATGGGTAGTGACAGTTTCCGAGTATGCAAACGGTGTGGCTCCCGGTGGTTGTGTGAGTACTAATGTATAGGTAGGCGCCTATGACTCACGCTTCGGCAGGTGCATTGCGCTTTCAAAGTGTAGTGTTGTTGCGGGACTGGGTCGACACGCCACTGGAAGTGGTGGATCGGTTCATTTACCCTAGTAGTTGATTCACGTTTGGTGGTCGCATAACTGAGGAGGTTGCTTCACACATCGACAAAGTCCGTGTGGCTTTCCAGAGGCTGAACCATCTATGGAGACGGTGGGATATCAGCCTGTCAGTGAAAGATAGGGTGTATAACGCTGTGATTACGCTGATATTACTGTATGGATCGGAGACCAGCCAACTTCGCGCTATTCTATAGGCCGTTTGTGATCACCGGCGCTTGACCACATCTGGTGGGAACACCGGGTGAGCAATGTTGAGATACGCCAGCTGGTGTTTGGCAAGAAACCCTCTGGAATGTCTGCTAGGCTTGAACCGCTTACTTTGGCTAGGTCATGTTCTCCGTATGCCTGTTGACCGCCTTTATCAACGTGCACTATACGTTGTCACTACATTCATCTGGACGGAACCGTGAAGTGGCCAGTCCATGATGCCGCGTAAAAGCATGACGATATTGACCGAAGTACAATAGGGTGCATGCCATCTTTGTGAATAAGGCCCTTGGAGTGGTTCACATCCGTGGTTGGAGATCGTACCGGATATGTCGCAGTCGCAGCTACCTGTTAATATTCCAATCCCCTCGTCATTATTCACTTCTTTCTTAGCCCCCTTTTGTTTGTCTTTTGCCTCATTTACTTACCGTTACTATTTAGTGTTACCGTGGTGACGCGATCGTGGCAACTGGACCCGCCGCACTACAGAGCCAGGGGTTTATTTTCTAATTCCACTGAACGGTCTTTTTTCGGACAGAGTACAGCACTCTAGCCAGAACAACAAGCGATGGACACGTGACTATTATCTAGACTCAGTACAGTTCCTGGGGCGATAGGAAGGTTTGGTGCAACCAGTGCCGCGCCCCATCTCAAGGTCATCGGTCACGAATCAGCTTATGGAAGGAAATTCGTCCGCCGATGTGTAGTCACGGAACATGAAATGCGATCATAATGCTGTGATGTAAGTTTGCCCACAGTCACCATTCCCTTTTAACTTCACCATCAACTAAGTAATGGAAACGGCGTTCACTGGACACGACTTACAAGATGTGGAGTTTCTCCCAGGGGATCGATCTCTTGAGTTGGAGTATGCCGATGACACTGCCCTAATCTGTGACAGCTCACAAAGGTAACAATCATGGTTGGACAGATTGGCACTGCCTGTCAGTCATTTTACGCTATGCCTTGCGCCCTCGAAATGTCAAGTCTTCCAAGATTGGTAGGGACCCACTCCTGCGTTGACCCTTAGGGGAGATCAGCTAGAAGTCGTCCAGAAAATTAAGTATCCAGACTGCTATATTAGCACCTGTGGAATAGACGAAGAGTTCACGAATCGTATAGCAAAAGCTAAAGGCACTTTTGTCAATCTCCTTTACCAGTGGCACCGGCGTGACATCAATCTCCCTCTGAAGGGCAGAGTTTACAATGTAGCCGTCCGTTCAACCCTCCTCTACGGTTGCAAAACCTGGCCCACCAAGTCGATAGGCATAAAGAGGCTAGTTAAGTACGATCATCACTGCTTTGGCAGTTTAGCGCATGTCTGGTGGGAACACCGCGTGAGCAATGAACGTGTTCGGCGTCGTGTATTTAGCGCAAGAAGAGCGAGTGAACCGCTCAGCGCCATTTTACCAAACACCAGAATTCGATGGCTAGGCTGTGTTGCGCATACCAGCACACCGACTCCCGCGACGTGCGTTGTTGCGCGGCCGGGATGGAAGAAGAGGAAGGGCGGCCAAACCATGAGATGGTAAAGAGGGATTAAGACCCTCATTTTGAACTTAGCGTTAAATGGGGTACAAAGTACGATGAATATGTTTGGTTGGATACACTTGCTGACATGGCAAAGCACCGATCTTAGTGGCGTTTGTATTTTGTATCCTTTTGTCCTTCCCTCTCTGTCCTCGATTCTCCATTGAACCAAGATATCACACTAGATGCAAAATATGATACTAAGCATTATATTGCCTGTTTTTGGCTTTTATTCCGTAATGATTAGTACCCTGCTTATTTCGTATACTACTCCCCTGCATTTCATATATATATATATATATATATATATATATATATATATATATATATATATATATATGGTAATTTTGTATTGAGGATGATGATGGTGTGATTCAAATCATGAGAGCTCGTAGCCGATTTTTAGCGTTGCCAAAGTAACCAGTTGGTAAGTGTGTCTGCCTTAGACAGTACCGCCATAGTCTCTCCGAAAAACAGTACTTGTCCTCATAACACAAGTCGGAAACGAGGATTCGCCTGTGCCAGACAACAGTACGGATGTAACGCAAACAAAAGCGTCTAGCTGACACAGTCTTTGTCGAGGAACTCGTGTTTACAGCGCTATCATTGTGGAGCTTTAGGAGTGCGGTAAGAAGACGCAAGGAAAGACTTCAGCAGTGAAACAGTAATCTGTACCGATGCGATTGTTCACGAACTGAAATGCTTACGGAGCACGCCTACACTTAGACAAAGGCAGGGACTCGAAAGTAGAGGTAGCAAGCTAGAGATACCTGAATCGCCAGACAAAAGACTACGGTACTCGCCTTCACCTAAAATACCTTCCGCTCTGAGGTGGCGGTTTGGTGCGCAATGCTCAGCTTTTGAAAGGAGGCAACAATAGTTTTATGTAAACGGTGTCGTTCAATACTTCTCAAATATTAACCGCTGCGTTTGAGACTGATATCGCTGAATTGCTTGATTCGTAAGATGGCTTCCAGGGCAGAGCTTACATCCAAGCAGTTTGTTTGACTGAATCGTATTAGCATACTAAAAACCGCGATACTCGAACTGATCACCCGCAGAATGACTTCAATTTAAGTGGGTTACACATCCATGACCTACCCTTTGAACGAAGTCCATCAGCTTGTTCGGGTCGGATCCTGAGGCAATGTCCACTAGGTCGGAGGGCACCGAGTACTGCTTGAAGACGCTTGGTCGAATGGACCGATCCTCCTGGTATCGGAACAAGGGAAGAAAATCCTAAAACAAAGAGTGTGGAACAGAATGGGATTTACTCACTGTTTCCAACGGATATGTGTTCTCGAGTTCGGACCACGAGAACAATAAAGGTTCCGTTGGATCTCCAAACACGTTAAAATCGACCACTTTGATCCCGCTGATAGCAGTTGTTGGTTGCTACAGAAATGTTTTAAAACGAGTGATTGGCGCATCCTACCGTAAACTCGCAGTACAAATCAACGGCGTCTAAACGTTGATGACACGATATATTTGGGAACTTACAGTCGTCTAAGGGGAATTTTCCATGGATCCGTTTTGAGAAGAAAGAGCACAATGCCTGCTTGATGCGGTCGGCATGTGTGGCTATTGAAGAGAAATAAGCGTCGCATATTCGCTGCGATATCGCTGGAATGGAATTTCAAAAAGGCAAATATTACTGCAACACTGAAGGATAATCATGCGGATAGTGCCATGATACGAACAGCCGTCACAGAGTTGGTTGTTGGGTGGACGGCGCACAGACTGCACTCATAAGTGTGGGGGACCTAAGGAGTTTCATTCCCCACTTATGATGTGCGTCTGGCTTTGGCCAGAGATAGGCTGTAGAACGCCCTGGTGAAGTACGAATCAGTTCACGAACAACACTAGGCATGATAGAGAACAAACTCTATCCTCTAAGGACGATCCATACATCGGTGACAAGAAACATCGCCGTCGTCAACAACAACAATAGCACCGTATATATACTTTGCCTTGGTGCTAGGCTACAACGCAATCGAGACAGAAGGGTAAGAAAGACTTTAATGACTGAATACATCAGGAGTGATTAATGGTGTGAAGTAGACTCAAAAAGCCCCAAGCAAACATTCAGTTTAAAGATATCTACATTCTACCTGTTATGGGGACCCAACGTTCCCATAATGATCGGAAGCTTAAACCACGGAAGGCAATGAGACTCGATTCAGGCAAATGCACATGTTTCAATCAGCCTTCCAACTTGTGAGACACGTTTCGATTGGCCTTTGTACCTCAGAAAACATTCTTGTTTCCGACCAACCTCCTTTCAATCATAAACATTCAGAATTTTTTACCTAAGAAACATTCAGTTTTCCAGTCAAGCCTCCACAGCTACCAACGTTCCCTTTTCAACATGTTCCGTTGGCATATTTGCATAGTACCAATTCAGTTGCTTCCAGGATTTGCTTGCGCAAATCATTGGCGCCATCGAGGTATAAAAGAAGCGCTGAACTGCGCTGTAATCGTCTTGAGCCTAGCCCCAGTAAAAGTGTCTACACGAAAGGGATGTCTTTTGTCTCGTTCTCTGAGGTTTGGGTAGAAGCGTGTGAAATTGCGTTCGGTCTAGGAGCCCGTTCAACTCGCGCATAGTAACCGTGTTGCGCCTAAGTCTCACGGATCGTACAACTTCGAATTTTGTCGGTTACTTTGTCGTGTGTTAAATAGTTCCAAGCCTCATTTGTTCGACCGACTAGGAGAATTGATACCAAATCGTCAGGGAGTGGCATAACCAAGAGGCAGTTATAACACTACCAATGCCGCATATACCTAAAAACACCTTGTGGTCGTGAATAGAGTAAGTGTTATTGACGAGGCAGTTTCGCTGTGATATTCACTGTTCCGCGCCATAAATGATCTTGCTATCCGCAGATATTCTAGCGCCAAGCATGTCTTAAACAGGCAGTTCAGCTAAGAGAGAACATCAAGTGCGTCACAGATGCCACTTGCAAGCCGAGCATAGAGTCGGTGGCGGGGAATCCCATCTGAAGTCGGACAAACAGCACACAATTTAGTGGCCCACGAATTCATTAGTGACTGTTCCTAATACACTTGCGCTATTCAATATTCGACTCATGAAAAAACATTTCTCTCAAGACGCTGAGCAGGTGTACGTAGTACCACCAACGCAACTTGTTCAGCCCCGTTTGTTGAACCAACGAACTAATCTGTTAGCTACCGCTTATCGTTCGCCAGCACATTTCAACGGGTCAAATATATTGGCGCTACTCAACATGAGTGGATCAGTCTGACTTGATACACGTCACCAGCACAATAATAAAACATAAAATAAAAATGTATTATTATGCCCGACAGGGATGAGCAAGAACAGAGTCATCAGACTGATTAGCTACAATCCGAAAAATAGAAAGAAGAATGCGGGAGCGCCCACAAATTCATGATGGTGCCATATCCGAGGGAACATCTGGAGACCACTGAAACAAGTAGAAATGCATTACATCCAGACTCAGTCAGATCGCCCTCATACACATGAAAAGGCACTGTACGGTCGTATCATCCTTTCGCACACTTAAGTGCGCATTCCATTTGACGCCCGTGGAGCTTGAACCCGCAACTCGACTGTTGCCAGTCTGAGCTACGGAGGACAGCAACAACCGTCGTGACTAGATTACTAGATATGATATGGCGATGCTCACTATCCACTGACTTGTACGTTACTACCGTGCAGGGGACATAGCAAGCCCTGATAAGGCCTACCCCCAGATCCCGATCTGTGAAAACAACATCCACCAACCCGATTCAGCTTTTCGGTGGGTTTATTCAATAGTTATTTGCCATGCGGCTAACGGACCAGCTTGAAATTTCACCCAACTAGACGCACTGTTGACGAACAACATGTGACGAGGCGGCCGGCCTGTAGCCTTAAGGGAGCGGATTCGACCCTGCGTAGGAACCAGATGACCCTCGCAGTATCCCTAGCCCAAGTGCAACTGATGGTGGTTGCGCAGCAGCGAAGCGCCGCTACTGCGTACCGGTGTACTGATGAAATCTAATACGGCACAAAAGACTGTTATCTGAGAAAATACCAATTCGACGAGCAATCTACTGAGGCAACAAAGAGCTCAGCATTAATCATTCGGTTCTCTAACTAGACATGAAGGACGGTGTGCAAGCATCGTTGATCGAGGGCGGTCAGTCTCCTATTGACAACGTCGCGGAACGGTGAGGTCGTAAATCCTTGCCTTAGCCAACAGGCTCACAATGTCTCCCTGCCGTCATAAGCTACCGGGCTACCGAAAGGTAGCACGAATCTTAGCAATACGCAGAGATACCTCTTCAGTGATATGACCACAGAAAGTAATACAGCTACCAAGATAATAAAACCAATCGATCAATTCGAGCATCTGTTCGGTACCGGTGTGAGGTGGTGATGAATCCGCCGAGTATTGTGATATTCCCTTGCATTTTGAGATTAAAAGCACACGCTGAAGCGCACAGAGATACATGTCACTCAGTTCAGCAGTACTCGCACAGAAGCTGGATCCAACTCGAACAGCCACGTGGTCCGCCTAACAGAATCTCCAACCCAAAAGAAGCGGAAGAATACAGTATGGAGCTGCTCGTGATCATCTTGATTCCAAAGTGGATAGTAAGAAATAGATGAAGCAATTCTGATGTGCTCCATTTGCGGTGGAAAGCTCAAGAGTGAGGCTCCCATAGATCTATCCTCGGCGCCTAGAGTCGAAGTGCACGGATTGTAAACTAGAGAGAGGCTGCAGAGCGTGGCCTCGCTACAAACAAACAGGATCAAAAAAGTTATGAAGTCAAGATAGGCTGTTTCCGAGTAAGGTGCCGTTCGAGCCAAGATGTCAACAGTGACTCTTGACTGTAATAATTTCCAATGTTCACTTCACAGCGAGTAGCAGTGGGCAGCCGCAGTATGACGCAATTGAATTCTTTGGTGACAAATTTGATGAGAGTTATATCACGATCATTTTCGCGGAGGTCCTTCGGCCAATTTACAGATACTAATGACGGTTGACGAATTGCAGTCAGAAGATATTTCACTCCACACCAAACAGTGTTGAACAGAGTACTTTTAAAACGATTAGTTCTCCAACCATTTGAAAAGCACAGTGGGGGTGAATTTTAGCAGCCAGGATAGTCACTAGTGAATCTTCATCGTTTTTTAGAATACACTTCGAAATGCCGCCAGAGCTAGGTGTCTCGTATCGTTTTTGTGACACCAATTTGTGTCCAACCTCGTCGAGAACGGAAACAACTGCATCAACGTCACAGTTGGGCTCACGCAGCTTGGTTGACAATTCTGATACACCCAGTCCGTCGAATTGTTGGTGAATGTGCTCGCCCAGCATGTTCTAGTCGACGTGATTGAGCGCAAATCCTCTGATTGTATTTTCTGCTACTATTTCACTCACGGGGCCCTTTTTGGAGTCAATGTGTATAACTGGTTGGATTAACACGCCGATGTTTCCCCAGTGGTACCCTCGTCGTTCACCAATGCTCGCAGCCTCAGGATTGTTAGATCTCGCATATGATATCCTGATTGAAGCAAACTAAGTGTTTCAATGAAGCGAATCAGAAATCCATAAATTAATCTACTATTCGAATGCCTTAAACTGTTTTCGCATAGCCTGTTAAAGGCGATTCAAGCAAACATTCAGCGCATCTCTCTTGCTGGACAACGACAAATGGTGGTGCAATTCATGTTGGTATTACTGCTTCGTGGGTTGCGAATACAACTGGCGAATAAAAGCAGCCACCAATGAGAAAGGGAGAGCGTTATGCGGGCACGCATGAGAGTGGAATCAGAGCCCGGGAAAAATACTGCAGATCATTTCGCACTGATTGTGTATCATCCATAACTGATGGCGATATGGCCGAGTTGAGCCCATGGTAATTTGTCGTTCGGCAATCAACATTTAACAGTCTGGTTCTCAAGATTGTGGGAGTACGTACAGTCCAGGAGTGTGATTGCAGAGTCCCACTGAGATCTGTTTGAGGCCGGTCACTCGCAGCCTTTGGGGAATTTGGAACACTTTACTTGTTTTTCGACGGTAGTAGGTGATTCACTTGAAGCCATGATCAACCTTTCGGGTGGGTTTGCGCCCCTTTGGCCAGAGACTGGCTTGACGCGGGCGGTAGCAAACCGCTTAACGAGAGTAGCACTTCCCCATACTCAGAGACAACTCATTACACACGTGATGTTCATCGCTTTGAAAGAGAAGTGCCCTCCCCGCGGCCCTCTGTACACGGCCATTGGTGTCAAAGGTGTTCAGGCGCTGTGTGGAAACTAATGGATTTCAGTCAGGGAATCAGCCCTCCTTATAATGTTGTCATGGATAAGAAATAAGGCGCAAGTTAATCACTCTGGACGAATCAGATGTGGTCCATGGATTAAGGAAAAACGAAAGAAGTGGATATCCGCTTAATCATTTATAGTACAAGTAGAAGTTCATAACACATCCAGATCCACATTTTACTGGTTCGTCTCAGCTGCTCACAAGCCAAACAATTAAATCCTCAATCCGGAAAAGCAACAGACGATCCATTCGCATATCCGTGGTGCACATTTCTTCGGTCCGTTGCAGGGGATCGAACACATGGTCACTAGCAGCTTGTGCCAACTAGCTACCACACGCCTGGAAAGGCACAGTGTAGCCGTTACATTCGTTTGGGAATCGTTAGTAGTGCATATTACACCTGGCTCCTGTGAGATTATGGCCCGCAACCCGACTGTTACCAATACGTGCTGAAAACCACTAGGCTACGTGGGAAGGGGAGGAGGACGGTGGCCTTCTACGTGACTAAGTTACTAGATGCAATATAGCACCCTACACTAGTGATCATCTATGGTTCGAGATGTCAAGCAGTGCAGCGGAAATCCGATGTCTAGTTTGTGTAAAGATCTTTAAGTGTTAAGGTGGATGGCTACATTACCTACAAAATCAATACTTTGGGAAGAAAGCGCTGGATTATCCCTAAACTAACAATGAATTGGCATGCACGAACGTTTGCAAACAAGACATGAGCGACTCTCCTTCATGGTGGCATTCAGTAGCCCCCTCCCGCCGAAAGTGATGTCACAATTGACGCTGAGGTAGAAACAATGAGGAATTTGAGCATAGACGAACGGCACATACCGATCAGTCTGTTTTCTCGCACGAAGCACCGGAATTCTCCGTCTGGCCTCATCTCCGCCCAACGTCGAAGGACGAGCACATGTTTAAAACTCGGTGGTTTATCAACCAGCTGATCCACCGAAACATCTGTACACAAAGCAAATCTGATGAGAAAGAGTAAGGAATAGTACACACTGACATACGGTGCGACGAGGTCATGTGCGACGAAATCGGAAGCTTTGAGGAGAAGATAAACATCCGAGAAGCTGTTGCATTTCATCGAATTTCCACACAGCATCCATGAAGCGTCCTGAAGAATTCGGTCAGAAACCGGAAGAACTACCTTTGGGGAGCTCCAGTTCAGCTTGGGGAAAACAAAACCACCGAGGGCGCGTATCGCCTCAGTAAGTTTTGACTCAAATTCGGGGAATTCAGGGCGCTCAATGGGATCCTCTTCTCCGTCAGATTCCCACGATTCCTCCTGAAACGCGGGAATGGTGTGATTGGTGTACGCGATATGGTTAATCACTCACACAAGACTGTGCGGACGGAAGTTGGGTTCGCGTCATATCAAGTGATAGGTCGAACCAGAGTTTAGTATGTGTCGCTTTCAGTAAAACAGCGAATAGGTATAATACTAAAGATGGATAAGGCGTTGGACCAGAGGTGAAAGTCGGATACAGAAGAATGTCACATTTGGTAGACTATGGCATGTCCAAACAAACGCTACTCAGTTATTGAATGGGGCTACTCATAGCGCTTTTGCACTTTACCTTTTGACAAAATCAGTCCCACGTTCAAGCCAGAAAAGCGAGCTGAAGCTATGGGAGGATCCACCACTGTGTCTTAAAAGACCAATAAAACGGTAGGTGACTTTCTGTTGTACTAGATTCAAATTCCTGTGGAGTTGATCAAATGAAAATAGGCCCATTAACACCTTTCAGTATGGCGTGGTTGCCATTTCTAAACGAAAATAAACAAGATTGATGCCACAGTGGAGGCATACGATAGGCATCATTATATGTCTCCAGTGGGAGGATGGTGTATGTTGTCCGTAGGTACTATCATAGCTGTCAGCTTAGATCGGTGGGAGCTGGTAAGTGCGAAATTGTGCTAAAAAGAGGCATCAGTAGCACACCGGTACCTCGTGCTGATGTTTCAATGCCACACAATAACCGGCAGTCGTGTTCTAGCTGCGAATGTTGTGAGGCTGTTCGCAACTACACATTCTGTAACCAATGATTGTGGATTACAGGCCGGGTGCCTGAATCACTGTGTTGCCGGTAGACATTTGTACCTAGTAACTGCTCTATTGGTAAGGTGGTCAACGCACAGCCCAAGAAATGAAACTTGTGACAAAAACTAACTGCCAGGTGGAGCTCTGCGATTAGCAAACAACCAACTCGAGCAATAGTGTCACTTGTAACGAGGACATCTTCCATGACTATACTAAGTAGAATGAGAGATGATGTCTAACGATAAGAGACTTTGACGGCTTAACTGATATTGTTAACGGAGACAGACACGAAAAGAGTAAAAACGCAATGCCGTGATTAACCGCTTCTTGGCTCTGTTTATGTTCTATGACCAAACAGCACGTAGTCGACTATGTAGTTGGAGCGGACAGTGATCTGCGCATATGTATCAAACTCGACTCCAATGATACAGACGCCCCGATGCAATAATAGGCAAGTGTATTTGAGCGAGATAGTCAGATATGTACTGAGTGCTTGTGTGTTCACTGCATCCGTGCCGCAGAGACGGCGTTCCAAGTTAAGGCGGGAGTCATTGGTTTGTGAGTTGAACAACGATTGCAAGCGCAGAAAGGTCGCATCTGAAAGGGAACTGTCTGAAAATATGTTTGAATGATTTAGCACAATGTCATAGGTATCCTGGTTTTTTAAGGCCATGTCACCGATGTTGATCATCAGGAAGCCCAAAGCCATGCTTACCAGAACCCTAAACACCGCGTGGCTTTGCACTTAAAATGTGTGAATTCTTCTCTTTCCTGCGCTCTCTTTCACGATTCCTGATACGAGTGATCTTCAGAGTATACAAATTTCCGTTGCTTCGCATGTCAATGAATTGCAAAGTACAACGCAACCACGCTTCTTGCGTGACATGGTTTCACAAATGTCATTAGCACGATCGCTGTGATCGGAGGATCCCATGCGGGAACAGTGTCTCGCTCTGTCGAGAAATAAAATGTTATCATTATGATTAATGGGAAACCTCCTACAAGTTAACCTACGAGGAGGAGATTTGCAATAAGTGGCAAATACGAGTGAGGATACTGCGAGCAACACTTATTGGTCTTCCATACTGAGGGATGGATTTTTCCGACAGGTGCTATAAGTATCGTTTGCTTACGTCATTCAAACCAAAAAGTAGCGAGGTCGATTGATGTTAGGCTGGAGGATACCACGAGACCGCCGACTGTACAGTTTGTTTCGCAAAGGAGACAGTTATTAGAGTTCCGCAACTTTGATGTGTCCCGTTAGCTAATATTGCAAATTAACTTATCGATCAGTGGTCGAGTGCATAGGGGATCTGTCTCGTAAACCACAGGTCACGGGTTTGAATCTGTGGGTAATCTTGCAGTACCCCATAGCCTGCACGTGACTGGCGAGGGAAGCGCTGCAGCGAAACGTCAGTCCCGCGTACCCGCGTACAGCTTGGCCGCCAGGGTGCATACATCGGGTGCCAACAGCGCGCCGGTAATTCGTACCATGCAACCCCAAGCGTTGTACGCGGCTGGAGTACCTAAGAGGAGCGGGGGGGGGGGACTTGGATTCGTAGGACAAAAGTTGCCAGTTAGACATTTGTACACATGAACCAGTGGGCGATACACTACTCAATTAAGCGGGACAGTAGCTGCCATTGTCATTGTTCGGCGCCGAATCACTTTTCCATCCAGTGGAACGTCCATCAATTCAGTGTATCTGTTCAACATTGCCACGATTCAAAAGTACGTACAGTGCCTAAATATGTGAAGATAAGAAGTGTAACAACTCAGACAACCGCATTTTTTATGCGGACAACAAATCTTAACCCGCTACAACCAACGTGTGTAACAGTTCATTCACGTAACGAGTGGTCCAAAAGGACAGGGCTCCTTGCCTAAACTCCTCAAATCGTGATGCACATGGTTGGAACTCGATTATTGAGCGTCGTGTCCGCCAGCGGACGCATTTACAACTAAGTCACTGAGGTTTGCGATGCAGGAGTTCCAGCGGTCGAGATGACTCAGTCCTATCTCAAAGTAGTCCGCGATCCAAACGCGCAGCAGTGAATTCCCAACAGCTGTTGCACATTTTCTCGTAGAGCCAGGTACTGTGGCTAATGAAGCAGTTGTTTTACAATTCTCTACGCTCTGGTCCGGCAGTCTCGACCTAGAGATTTCAACCAAGACCAGAACTGATGTCGTTAAGAGCAACAACAAATTTTTCTGTTTCAAATACGCTCTATGTAATTGAACCACTCGAATTCAGTCTAAACTGAGATTTCCTAAAACAATCCACACATAAGATGAGTACTGTGAAAAAGAACTCAGAGGTGGACACATGACTGAAGTTCCATTTTCCAAGGAAGATACACACATTGTACTGATCCAATGGACAACAATCAACTAGTAACGGGTTATGAGAATCGCTCTTTTAGAGTGGAAATAACCGAGATCTCTTGGATGCCCGTTACTCGTTTGATAAAACGGTGGAAAACAGCTGAGATTACCCAACTCACTTCGGTGTCAGTTGAGGATGCTCTGGAAAAGTTCACACGGCGGGAACTAAACTGACGGAAAATGAAGTGAATTAAGTTGAGTAGATAGGAAGACGTAAAACAAGAAAAAATAAGAGTTTGTACGAACAATGCTGTCCTTAACACAACAATTTTTTGAGAACAAACTGTAGACAACTGTTTCCAGTCTGTGTCATTTGTGTAAGAGGCGAAATTTGAGGAGTACGAAACGGAGTGAGTGAGTGCTGTTTAAAGCACCTCGCAGAATTCGATCAAATCACCGTTCACATCTTGTTCGTGATCATCTTTGGGTAATAAGTCGCGGCATAGCGTAGTTGACATAGGTGGACGAAATAGGTGTTGAAGCTAGATAGAAATACTTCGGTATTGCTCCTCCAAACACTGGCACACTACGACCGCGGTTTCGTCTTGGTTTGGACTCATCTGGTGGCGATAGCCTGAGCTGGAGTGGAACTCAGAGCCTAGTAGTTTACGGCTGACACCCTGAACACTACGCTATTGAGATCCGCGAGCAACGCTTGGCACTGTGGGAAAAAAAATCAAAGTTGAATTTGTGGAACCTGCTGTGTCGTTGGGTTGCGACACGCGACCTCCACTGAGACCTCGGTTCAGTTTGAACCTAGTCAGGTCGGTAAATACCCCTGATCGGTTGTTACTTCTACAAACGGTATCTCAGGCACTTGTCGAATGCACTGGTGGGAGCTTCCGAATAAGTACCGTTATGGTGACGTTACCTAGCATCATCAGCAACAGCGGCATACCACTCAACAAAATGTTGCTTCGCCGCTACGCAACCACAACGATCTACTGAACGAATAATAGAAATAAGAGTGAAGAGTGACCTAGTGTAAAACACCAATCACCTAAGCAAACATTCGGGGTCAACGCGCCTACGGTCACGAACAGCTGGCAATCGTGCAAAGATAAGGCAGCATCAACGTGACAGCTTGCTTGCAGCTTCCACTGTCCCGCGTCGTAATCAGCCATTACTTAGCAGATAACAGCGAATCATCATCATCATCAATACACGTTAGCTGAGGATGAGAAACACACCTCACTAATATGATGTTAAATATTATTTTATGCGTATGGGATGCGATCGGGATTGGAGGGAAATTTAAAGGGGAGGGGGTGGACAAAGAAATTCACAACACAAACGCTACTGAGGGCGGCTCTTCGCCGTATCATCAATGTGTCCAACCAAACGTGTTCATCGTCCTTAGGACCCCAGCCAGGCAGTCAGGATTCATCAACCGACGCCAGCTTTGAAGTGAGAGTTTTCATCTCTCTCGACCAAGTAACCGCTTGGCCTCCCCTCCTTCTCTTACAATCACACCCCCGGCGCGCAAACGCAGGTCGCGGGAGTCAGTGTGCTGGCATGCGCAAAACATGATCGAGCCATCTAAGCACAAAACACTCTCAATAAAAGACGACAGCAGACGCACCACTGGTGTCGATTGCGAGTCACGTGGACTCCAGTCTGGAAGGCGAGACGGACCGACGGCACCTAGCGTTGCGTCATTGACTTCACTTCCCGTTGCCAAGCCAAATTTTGTCCACTTCGAGCCTTGCGCCACCCTACATCTGGCAGACTAAACAAGGCCCTCCTAGGTAAGCAGTGACCGGGCATACGTACTTAGTACCTAAGATAACGTAGCTTATTCAGTGCTACCTGTTGTTCTAAAGAACTAGATTGGTTACTACTGGGTAGTACGCGCCCACGCATATCATCGTTGCGGACACGCTGGTGCCACCAGACATCAGCAATGCTCCGCAGACAGCCATGATCAAAGACGTGAGTCGGGGAGGCTTGCTCCACAACAACTCGTCGCACGGACCACAGCTGATAAACTGAGTTGAATTGGGAGGGTGTCGATGATGCAGATTTGTGGCACGGTGTGAGTTACCACGCAAGTTACCACCGTTGATGCGTGGTCTCGAACTGCGCGATTAAGGTGTCCATGAGGGTAGTGAATGAAGTGCCATCGTCACCAAAGCAAGACGTAATAATGATGGAATTCAACTGGAGCAGTGCGTGTGTTGATATATGGTTGGCGGCATCCGGTTTCGGATTTGCCTGTCACTGTGGCAAGCCACAGGACGCCTGCGCCTACAGAGGGACCATGGATGGCTTGCGCTGCACCACCCACAGCTCCAACCACACACCCCATATCCAGTGTAAACCCGACGGAATAAGACCGGGAGGCATGCGGATGGGAACCACGTTTCATCAACGGAGCCGGCCCACACTCCTTCACAGG